TTTTTCATAGCATACAACATTCCTCAAATTAATGTTGATAACTGAGCCATTTCCTACTATTACTAGATATTTAGATACTTAAATATTTCATTATTATAAATATGCTGTAATTAATGTATTGTTATAACATCTTCTTCTTTGACTTATTTTCTTAAGATACATTTCAATTGTGAACTTCATAGATCTACAATTTTCATTTTAAAAAGCTTAAGATATTAAATCTGAGTCTGAAGCAAAAAGGAGAGAGTTCAAAAAGGATGGATATCAATTAGAGAAGGACATTCAAAGTAAGGTTTCCTCAGCAGCGGTGCCTCTCCAGTGGACTAGTACCTGTCTCTTCCCACACTACTACTGCCCTTCTCTGTGCACGAGGATCGAGACTCTCTCTCGCAGATCTTCAGATCACTCACGAAAACCAAACACATCCCAACTCAACTCTAGCAGATATCAATGTCAAGTCCCTGAACACAGCACACTGGTTCACAAGGATAGGCTCAGACACCACCTCAGGAGACTAGCATTCCTTGGAGTCCAAACTTAAGATCTCTCCCCACAGTGGCTCTTGCCTGTAATCCCGGCCACTTGGGAGGCTGAGGTTAGAGGACTGCTTCAGCCCAGGAATTAAAAGTTACAGTGAGCTATGATCACTCTACTGCACTCCAACCTGGGCAACAGACCAAGACTCTGTCTCCAAAAATAAAGCCTGAAATATTAATATTTCTCATCAAATGTAAATCAAATAATAATGGTTCTGATAGTCATCTTCCACATTAGGCCATAAATTCTTGAAAACTTCAAAGACAATTTTATAAAGACCATGTTCTCCAACATTAATATAATTAACTTAGAAATCAATAGCAAAAATGCAGCCAAATTTGTGGGATGCAGTAAAGCATGCTTAAAAGGAAATTTACAGTAATAAACACATATATTAGGAAAAGAAAAAAGGTTTCTTAAAGGTTTTTAAAACAAAAGTTGGTTCTCTGAGAAGATTAAAAATAAATAAAAATAATAAAACAAGCCTTTCTCCAGAGACTTATCAACAAAAGAGAGGAGACAGAAATAACCCATATGAAGAAGTGGAGAAAGGACATTACTACATATCCTACAGACATTATAAGAATAATAAAGTGATAATATGAACTATGCCAGCCAATTTTTTTAACTTAGATAAAACAGACAAATTCTTTGAAAGATAACAAGCTACCAAAGTTCACTCCAGAAGAAATAGATATCCTGAATCCCCCTATTTCTATTAAGCTAAATTTACAGTTAAAAACATTCCCACAGGCCGGGCGCGGTGGCTCACGCCTGTAATCCTAGCTCTTGGGAGGCCGAGACGGGCGGATTGCTCAAGGTCAGGAGTTCAAAACCAGCCTGAGTCACAAGGATAGGCTCAGACACCACCTCAGAGGACTAGCATCTCTTGGAGTCCAAACTGAAGTGGAGCCAAGCACCTGCAGGTTTTGTAGGTGTTAAGGGTTGACAGTTGTCCACTGACATCAGGATGGAAAGGCACAGCCATCAGCTATGCACGACCAGGAGAGGAAGCCGCCCTTTGTGCTAACTGGGCCACCCAGTCTTATGCCGCCCTCCACACAAAGCTTCTCTAAATCCAATGCAATCTTAAAGATCTAATTCAGACAATCATTTCCAATACTCTTAACACTGGTTAGCACTTTTAAATCCTTTAGTAAAAAATCTCTATGACCCTCCTTCAAAGAAAGGGCAGAATGATCTGTTAGCACTTTTTGTTGCACTGATACTGTTAATATTTACTTCCGTTAAATGTCTACAGATAACACCTAAATTGTAAACAAAAAATGGGTGTATAAATAGCTAAAAATAAGCAAACAAAAACAAAATAAACAAAACCTTCCTTCATCAAAGATTCTCTAGTTCCAGTTTATAAGATATAAAAAATATGCTTGTAACTTGCATTTCTTGTACTCAATATTAAACAGATCACTTACAGAAGATAAACTATTTTAACTCTACCAATTCCTAAACAATTAAAGGGTGAAAACAAGCAATTCAAACTATTAAATAGCATTCACACTAGGACTAGTAGTAAATAGCATTTTAAAACCTACAAAGAATGTGAAGCTGTTATTAAAGCAAGAGATTTCATTGCTATTATACTGTAACATTTTCATGGAACTAATTTTAGGCAACCATTTAGCATTAAATCTCCACTAGAGCATTTCTGTCAAGTATGCTTAGCCAAGAAGCCAGTAATTTTTCAGCAGACACCAGGAAAGGAGCTGGCACTTGTGCTAAGCTAACTGGACCCACAGGTCAAATATTAAAAGGAGGCCTGGAGCAGTGGCTCATGCCGTAATCCCAGCACTTTGGAGATCAAAGGCACAGGATCACTTGTGGCCAGGAGTTCAAGACCAGCCTAGGCAAATAGCAAGATCTCCGTATTTACAAAAATAACTTTTTAAATGCTGGCATGGTGGTACGTGCCTGTAGTCCCAGCTATTTGGGAGGCTGAAACAGGAGGATCACTTCAGCCAGGAATTAGAGGCTGCGTGGGCTATGACTGCCCACTCCAGCCTGGATGAGAGAGTGAGACCCTATTTCAAAAAATAAAACTACAATTAAAGGCACTGGTGATTTCTTGTACACAAATTTTACAGAGGTAATTCAGCTCAGCTGGAGATTTCATTCAGCCATTTACCCAACATGAGTTTATCACATGCCTGCTATATGCCAGGCATAGTTCCTGGTCCTGAGGCCACAGCAGGGACCACAAAGACTCTCCTCATGGAGCTTATATTCCTGCGGGCAGAGATGGAGTGAAGATTCAGAATGGATAACCCTAATGCCAGAGAACAAAGCAGGGTAACATTCTATACAGTATGACATGGGCAGCATGTACAAGCATGAATGACACGGTCAGGCTCACATGTCGAAAGTGCTCTGATGTGGAAACATGGAGATCGGACAGAGGGAAGGCAACTCAGTATCTCTGACAGAGATATCAATGCCCAGAAGTACAATACGCTGATCACAGGGTGGGCTCCGACCACCACCTCAGAAGCTCTAGCATTCCTTCAAGTCAGAATGCAGCTTAATTAAGCACTGTTTGGTTATAAGCCCATGTATGGAAACTTAAATGTGTAAGTATGGAGAAAGATTTCACAATCTAAAACACTGTTAATATCGGATGCCTAAACCAGAGATAGGAGTATTGGTAAGATATAACTTTTTCTTTAGCTATCAGAATAAGGTACACTTGATCCAATAATTTAAAATATCCATGAAGAGAAATTAAGAAAAAACAGGAGAGTGGAAAAAATTTTAAAACCAAGAAAGGAAGCAGTTCAAAGAAAAAAAGCTATCTCTAGGCTGGGGCGCAGTGGCTCACGCCTATAATCCTAGCACTCTGGAGGCTGAGGCAGCCGGATTGCTTGAGGTCAGGAGTTTGAAACCAGCCTGAGCGAGACCCGTCTCTACTAAAAATAGAAGAAATTAATTGACCAACTAAAAATATATATACAAAAAATTAGCCGGGCATGGTGGCACATGCCTGTAGTCCAGCTACTCTGGAGGCTGAAGCAGTAGGATTGCTTGAGCCAGGGACTCCAGGTTGCTGTGAGCTTGGCTGATGCCATGGCACTCACTCTAGCCTGGGCAACAAAGTGAGACTCTGTCTCAAAAAAAAAACCAAACAAAAAAAGCTATCTCTACAAAGAGTGAAAAGAAAAAGAAACCTGCAATGCATTAGGTTTCCCTGAGAAGGCAGGAAGGGATGGAATTCCAAGCCAGGAGAGCTAAGTTCAGCCATAGGTAGGAGGCAGGAAATTGTAATCGGTGGCCAGGAGCACAAAATGGCTACAGGTGTAAGGGTTCCAATCTTTTCTGTGATGTGATGAGGTCATTTGCTGGAGGAGAGCAGGAGTTTCAAGCACAGTAGAGAGGCTTAAATATTTAGTGAGCTTGTGAGAGAGATGACCATTTAGTGCTGTGGGTCCGAGACTGGGTTGTCAGTCTATGGAGAAAGCCAAAGGCTCTGTGGTGAGGCTTTCTGCAGCACAGTCTGGCTGCTCAGAAGCAGGGAAGGCTAGTGCAGGATCAGCACAGAGTGTTACTAAAACAACAGACCATGAAATACAATGCGCAAAACCAGGAGTGAATAATGGGCTGATGGACTGGGATGAAGAAGGGACCATCCACAAGGGAAGGATTCCATGTCATTCATTGATATAACCCCAGAGTTAGAACAGTGCTTGATACAGAGAAGGTAGAGACCCAGCATATTTGTTATCAGAATGAACTGAAGAAGAGAGAGCTCCTGATCATGTTGAAAAATGGTTAAATTGGAGCAGCTAAAGAAACAAGTGGTCAGAGTTGGAAAGAAAACATCTTCATTCTTAGGTTTTGTTTTTTGGGGTTTGTTTTTTTTTGAGACAGAGTCTCGATTTGTTGCACAGGCTAGAGTGAGTGCCATGGCGTCAGCCTAGCTCACAGCAACCTCAACCCTGGGCTCAAGCAATCCTCCTGCCTCAGCTTCAAGTAGCTGGGACTACAGGCACGCGCATCATGCTGGCTAATTTTTTCTATATATTATAGTTGGCCAATTAATTCTTTCTATTTATAGTAGAGACGGGGTCTCGCTCTTGCTCAGGCTGGTTTCGAACTCCTGACCTCAAGCAATCCACCCGCCTCGGCCTCCCAGAGTGCTAGGATTACAGGTGTGAGCCACCGCCCGGCCCATTCTTAGGTTTTAAACCATAAAAGAATTTAGAAACTGCCTACAATTTGATAAACACCCATTTATTATGTTAGCATGCAAAAAAAAGAAATTTTAAAGAACTACTGTTCTCATAACTTCTAACCCAAACTGGCTAATTCTCAGATTTCTATACTCTGTAGACAGGAATCAGAAGAGGTTTTCCAAGGTTTACGGAAAGCTCAGCTTACTAAATGGAAAGAGGTGTGCCCAGACACAAAATGTTTCATATCATCCAGTTACCAACTCATTTAATACTCACTGTGATATGATTGTAGATAAGCTGAGACCACCCAAAGAGATCTGCTAGTCTGTAAAATGCTGCCAATTTAACATCGCAATAACTCTCCCTTTGTCATATGCAATCGAATCAGATCCTTCAGGTCGTTCCAGGAGTCACCATGCCAAGACCTGAAATAAAGAAAAACAAACTCAGCTGGGAACAGTGGCATGTGCTATAGTCCCAGCTACCCAGGAGGCTGAGGTGGGAGATCACTTGAAGCCAGGAGTTCAAGGCTGGGTATGCCATGATTGCACTTGTGAATAACTTTACACTCTAGCATGGCAACAAAGCAAGATCCCACTCTCTATTTAAAAAAAAAAAAAAAAAAAAAACACCTCAGGCTGGGCACAGTGGCAAGGCTGGTTTTGAACTCCTGACCTTGAGCAATCCACCCGCCTCGGCCTCCCAGAGTGCTAGGATTACAGGCGTGAGCCACCGCGCCCGGCCAGAGTTAAACAACTTTTCATATTTTTACAAGGCATTCTTATTTCCCCATCTATGAAATTCCTTTCTTGATTTTTGTCCATTTTATACTAGTTTGTCCTCTTCTTATTGATAGTTCTTTATTCTGGATATTAATTTCTGCTGGCTACATTGTGGGGCAACTTATTCTAGGTTATAGCTTTTGTTTTTACTGTCTTTATGGTATCTTTTAATAATGAGAAATTTATTATTTTAAATGTAGTCAAATTTACCCATCTTTCCTTTTATGATGGGTGATTTTTGTGTCTTAGGATACCATTCATTAGGTCAAAGGTTAAAGAGGTTTTCACCTACATTGTTCCTAACATTTTTAAAGTATTACCTTTCTTTCACCTTTAATCCTTAATTCATCAAAATTGCTTTGTGAGTATAGTATAGTATGGGATAAAAGTCCAATACAATCTTCAAATTGTGATTTTTCAATCCAAGTGTTCCAGCACCAACCACTGCCTAATCCACCCCTCCCCTGCTGATCTGCAAAGCTGACTCTCCTGCATATCTAATTCTGACGCGTGCAGAGCTGGTCTTAGGCTTTCTATTCTGTCCCACTGGTCTACCTGTCTCTTCCTTTGACCAAAGCACACTATGTTAATTATCACTTTATATTAAATTTGATATCTGATAGGAAAAATCTCCATGCCTAGTTCTTCAGGAGTATCTCAACTATTCTTGGCCTTTTGCTTCATGTACATTTTAGAAGCATGCTTTCAGGTTCCATGTTAAAAAAAATTGTATCACTAATTTTAATCAATCATCTCTTTTTTCTTTATATAACATATTTCATACAGCTATAAACAGTATACATTTCGGGCCAGACTTGGTAGTTCATGCCTGTAATCCTAGTGTTCTGGGAGGCCAAGGTGGGAGAGATTTCTTTTTCTTTTTTTTTTTTTATTTCAGCATATTAGGGGGGTACAGATTTTAAGGTTTCAATAAATACCCCCCCATGGAGAGATTTCTTGAGGCCAAGAGTTCAAGACCAGCCTGGGTAATACAGCAAGACCTCAGTTCTTAAAAAAAAAAAAAAAAAAAACTTTTTAAAGAATTAGCTGGGCTTGCAATGCCTATAGTCCCAGCTGCTTGGGAGACCTCTGAGGTGGGAGGATCACTTGAGCCCAGGAGTTCAAGGTTACAGTGAGCTATGATCATACCACTGCACTCCAGCCCAGGCAACAGAGTGAGAATCATCTCAAAAAATATTAAAAAAATAAAGTATAAATTTTATATTTTCTCATTTCTAATAATTAGTTTATTTTTCATTAGTATTTTTAGTTTCTTTTTTAGTTATTAATATTTTCATTCATATTTAAATGGTGCTTTTATGTCACCAGAGCACATATTGTCACGTGGTATTATTTCCCTCCTTATAATACTCATTTTGTGCTATCATTAGTAGCTTAATTCTCACTTTCTTTGCTCTTGCATGTTATCTGTTGTGTTTTTTACCTTCTTATATAACTTCTAGTTTCTTTTTTTTTTTGAGACAGTCTCACTCTGTTGCCCCAGCTAGAGTGCTATGGTGTCAGCCTAGCTCACAGCAACCGCAAACTCCTGGGCTCAAGCGATATTTCTGCCTCAGCCTCCTGAGTAGCTGAGACTACAGGCATGTGCCATCATGCCTGGCTAATTTTTTCTATTTTTGGTAGAAACGGGGTCTATCGCTATTGCTCAGGCTGGTCTCAAACTCCTGAGCTCAAATGATCCACCCGCCTCGGCCTCCCAGAGTGCTAGGGTCACAGGCATGAGCCACCACGCCTGACCTATTTAGTTATTTTTAATTGATATTTTAGTTTTCATATTTTTGCCCCTCCCCTAGTTTTCATGTTTTATATGGTCTTCATAATCATTTTTCATAGCATACAACATTCCCTCAAATTAATGTTGAATAACTGAGCCATTTCCTACCTATTACTAGATATTTAGATACTTAAAATATTTCATTATTATAAATAATGCTGTAATTAATGTATTTGTATATAACATCTTCTTCTTTGACTTATTTTCTTAAGATACATTTCAATTGTGAACTTCATAGATCTACATATTTTCATTTTAAAAAGCTTAAGATATTAAATTCTGAGTCTGAAGCAAAAAGGAGAGAGTTCAAAAATATGGATATCAATTAGAGAAGGACATTTCAAAGTAAGTTTCCTCAGCAGCGGTGCCTCTCCAGTGGACTAGTACCGTGTCTCTTCCCACACTACTACTGCCCCTTCTCTGTGCACGAGGATCGAGACTCTCCTCTCGCAGATCTTCAGATCACTCACTGAAAACCAAACACATCCCAACTCAGTACCTCTAGCAGATATCAATGTCAAGTCCCTGAACACAGCACACTGGTCACAAGGATAGGCTCCAGACACCACCTCAGAGGACTAGCATTCCTTGGAGTCCAAACTGAAGTGGAGCCAAGCACCTGCCAGGTTTTGTAGGTGTTAAGGGTTGACAGTTGTCCACTGACATCAGGATGGAAAGGCCCAGCCATCAGCTATGCATGACCAGGAGAGGAAGCCCGCCCTTTGTGCTAACTGGGCCACCCAGTCTTATGCCGCCCTCCACACAAAGCCTTCTCTAAATCCAATGCAATCTTAAAGATCTAATTCAGACAATCATTTCCAATACTCTTAACACCTGGTTAGCACTTTTAAATCCCTTTAGTAGAAAATCTCTATGACCCTCCTTCAAAGAAAGGGCAGAATGATCTGTTAGCACTTTTTTGTTGCACTGATACTGTTAATATTTACTTTTCCGTTAAATGTCTACAGATAACACCTAAATTGTAAACAAAAAATGGGTGTTATAATAGCTAAAAAATAAGCAAACAAAACAAAATAAAACAAAACCTTCCTTCATCAAAGATTCTCTAGTTCCAGTTTATAAGATATAAAAAATATGCTTGGTAACTTGCATTTCTTTGTACTCAATATTAAACAGATCACTTACAGAAGAGTAAACTATTTTTAACTCTACCAATTCCTAAACAATTAAAGGGTGAAAAACAAGCAATTCAAACTTATTTAAATAGCATTCACACTAGGACTAGTAGTAAATAGCATTTTAAAACCTACAAAGAATGTGAAGCCGTTATTAAAGCAAGAGATTTCATTGCCTATTATAGCTGTAACATTTTCATGGAACTAATTTTTAGGCAACCATTTAGCATTAAATCTCCACTAGAGCATTCTGTCAAGTATGCTTAGCCAAGAAGCCAGTAATTTTTCAGCAGACACCAGGAAAGGAGCTGGCACTTGTGCTAAGCTAACTGGACCCACAGGTCAAATATTAAAAGGAGGCCTGGAGCAGTGGCTCATGCCTGTAATCCCAGCACTTTGGAGATCAAAGGCACAGGATCACTTGTGGCCAGGAGTTCAAGACCAGCCTAGGCAACATAGCAAGATCTCGTATTTACAAAAATAACTTTTTAAATGCTGGGCATGGTGGTACGTGCCTGTAGTCCCAGCTATTTGGGAGGCTGAAACAGGAGGATCACTTCAGCCCAGGAATTAGAGGCTGCGTGGGCTATGATTGCCCCACTCCAGCCTGGATGAGAGAGTGAGACCCTATTTCAAAAAAATAAAACAAAACTATCAAAACGCACTGGTGAGTTCTTGTACACAATTTTACAGAGGTAATTTCAGCTCAGCTGGAGATTTCATTCAGCCATTTACCCAACATGAGTTTATCACATGCCTGCTATATGCCAGGCATAGTTCCTGGTCCTGAGGCCACAGCAGGGACCACAACAGACTCTCCTCATGGAGCTTATATTCCTGCGGGCAGAGATGGAGTGAAGATTCAGAATGGATAACCCTAAATGCCACAGAGGAACAAAGCAGGGGTAACATTCTATACAGTATGACAGTGGGCAGCATGTACAAGCATGAATGACACGGTCAGGCTCACATGTCGAAAAGTGCTCTGATGTGGAAACATGGAGATCGGACAGAGGGAAGGCAACTCAGTATCTCTGACAGAGATATCAATGCCCAGAAGTACAATACGCTGATCACAGGGTGGGCTCCGACCACCACCTCAGAAGCTCTAGCATTCCTTCAAGTCCAGAATGCAGCTTAATTAAGCACTGTTGGTTATAAGCCCATGTATGGAAAAACTTAAATGTGTAAGTATGGAGAAAGATTTCAACAATCTAAAAACACTGTTAATATCGGATGCCTAAACCCAGAGATAGGAGTATTGGTAAGATGATAACTTTTTCTTTAGCTATCAGAATAAGGTACACTTGATCCAATAATTTAAAATATCCATGAAGAGAAATTAAATGAAAAAAACAGGAGAGTGGAACAAATTTTAAAACCAAAGAAGGAAGCAGTTCAAAGAAAAAAAGCTATCTCTAGGCTGGGCGCAGTGGCTCACGCCTATAATCCTAGCACTCTGGGAGGCTGAGGCAGGCGGATTGCTTGAGGTCAGGAGTTTGAAACCAGCCTGAGCGAGACCCCGTCTCTACTAAAAATAGAAAGAAATTAATTGACCAACTAAAAAATATATATACAAAAAATTAGCCGGGCATGGTGGCACATGCCTGTAGTCCCAGCTACTCTGGAGGCTGAAGCAGTAGGATTGCTTGAGCCCAGGAGACTCAGGTTGCTGTGAGCTTGGCTGATGACATGGCACTCACTCTAGCCTGGGCAACAAAGTGAGACTCTGTCTCAAAAAAAAAAACCAAACAAAAAAAGCTATCTCTACAAAAGAGTGAATAAGAAAAAGAAACCTGCAATGCATTAGGTTTCCTGAGAAGGCAGGAAGGGATGGAATTCCAAGCCAGGAGAGCTAAGTTCAGCCATAGGTAGGAGGCAGGAAATTGTAATCGGTGGCCAGGAGCACAAAATGGCTACAGGTGTAAGGGTTCCCATCTTTTCTGTGATGTGATGAGGTCATTTGCTGGGAGGAGAGCAGGAGTTTCAAGCACAGTAGAGAGGCTTAAATATTAGTGAGCTTGTGAGAGAGATGACCATTTAGTGCTGTGGGTCCGAGACTGGGGTTGTCAGTCTATGGAGAAAGCCAAAGGCTCTGTGGTGAGGCTTTCTGCAGCACAGTCTGGCTGCTCAGAAGCAGGGAAGGCTAGTGCAGGATCAGCACAGAGTGTTACTAAAACAACAGACCATGAAATACAAGCTGAGCAAAACCAGGAGTGAATAATGGGCTGATGGACTGGGATGAAGAAGGGACCATCCACAAGGGCAGGATTCATGTCATTCATTGATATAACCCCAGAGTTAGAACAGTGCTTGATACAGAGAAGGTAGAGACCCAGCAATATTTGTTATCAGAATGAACTGAAGAAGAGAGAGCTCCTGATCATGTTGAAAAATGGTTAAAATTGGAGCAGCTAAAGAAACAAGTGGTCAGAGTTGGAAAGAAAACATCTTCATTCTTAGGTTTTGTTTTTTGGGGTTTGTTTTTTTTTTGAGACAGAGTCTCGCTTTGTTGCACAGGCTAGAGTGAGTGCCATGGCGTCAGCCTAGCTCACAGCAACCTCAAACTCCTGGGCTCAAGCAATCCTCCTGCCTCAGCTTCCCAAGTAGCTGGGACTACAGGCACGCGCATCATGCCTGGCTAATTTTTTTCTATATATATTAGTTGGCCAATTAATTTCTTTCTATTTATAGTAGAGACGGGGGTCTCGCTCTTGCTCAGGCTGGTTTCGAACTCCTGACCTCAAGCAATCCACCCGCCTCGGCCTCCCAGAGTGCTAGGATTACAGGTGTGAGCCACCCCGCCCGGCCCATTCTTAGGTTTTTAAACCTAAAAAGAATTTTAGAAACTGCCTACAATTTGATAAACACCCATTTATTATGTTAGCATGCAAAAAAAAGAAATTTTAAAGAACTACTGTTCTCATAACTTCTAACCCAAACTGGCTAATTCTCAGATTTCTATACTCTGTAGACAGGAATCAGAAGAGGTTTTCCAAGGTTTACGGAAGCTCAGCTTACTAAATGGAAAGAGGTGGTGCCAGACACAAAATGTTTCATATCATCCAGTTACCAACTCATTTAATACTCACTGTGATATGATTGTAGATAAGCTGAGACCACCCAAAGAGATCTGCTAGTCTGTAAAATGCTGCCAATTTACATCGCAATAACTTCTCCCCTTTGTCATATGCAATCGAATCAGATCCTCTCAGGTCGTTCACAGGAGTCACCATGCCAAGACCTGAAATAAAGAAAAACAAAACTCAGCTGGGAACAGTGGCATGTGCCTATAGTCCCAGCTACCCAGGAGGCTGAGGTGGGAGGATCACTTGAAGCCAGGAGTTCAAGGCTGGGTATGCCATGATTGCACTTGTGAATAACTCTTACACTCTAGCATGGGCAACAAAGCAAGATCCCACTCTCTATTAAAAAAAAAAAAAAAAAAAAATGGAGATTGCCAATCGAATCAGATCCTTCAGGTCGTTCACAGGAGTCACCATGCCAAAGACCTGAAATAAAGAAAAACAAAACTCAGCTGGAACAGTGGCATGTGCCTATAGTCCCAGCTACCCAGAGGAGCTGAGGTGGGAGGATCACTTGAAGCCAGGAGTTCAAGGCTGGGTATGCCATGATGCACTTGTGAATAACTCTTACACTCTAGCATGGGCAACAAAGCAAGATCCCACTCTCTATTAAAAAAAAAAAAAAAAAAAAAAACACCTCAGGCTGGGCACAGTGGCTCTTGCCTGTAATCCCGGCCACTTGGGAGGCTGAGGTTAGAGGACTGCTTCAGCCCAGGAATTAAAAGTTACAGTGAGCTATGATCACTCTACTGCACTCCAACCTGGGCAACAGACCAAGACTCTGTCTCCAAAAATAAAGCCTGAAATATTAATATTTCTCATCAAATGTAAATCAAATAATAATGGTTCTGATAGTCATCTTCCACATTAGGCCATAAATTCTTGAAAACTTCAAAGACAATTTTATAAAGACCATGTTCTCCAACATTAATATAATTAACTTAGAAATCAATAGCAAAAATGCAGCCAAATTTGTGGGATGCAGTAAAGCATGCTTAAAAGGAAATTTACAGTAATAAACACATATATTAGAAAAAAAAAGGTTCTTAAAGGTTTTTAAAACAAAAGTTGGTTCTCTGAGAAGATTAAAAATAAATAAAAATAATAAAACAAGCCTTTCTCCAGAGACTTATCAACAAAAGAGAGGAGACAGAAATAACCCATATGAAGAAGTGAGGAAGGACATTACTACATATCCTACAGACATTATAAGAATAATAAAGTGATAATATGAACTATGCCAGCAATTTTTTTAACTTAGATAAAACAGCAAATTCTTGAAAGATAAACAAGCTACCAAAGTTCACTCCAGAAGAAATAGATATCCTGAATCCCCTATTTCTATTAAGCTAAATTTACAGTTAAAAACATTCCCACAGGCCGGGCGCGGTGGCTCACGCCTGTAATCCTAGCTCTGGGAGGCGAGACGGCGGATGCTCAAGGTCAGGAGTTCAAACCAACCTGAGCAAGAGCAAGACCCCGTCTCTACTATAAATAGAAGAAAATAATTGGCCAACTGATATATATAAAAAAAATTAGCCGGCATGGTGGCGCATGCCTATAGTCCCAGCTACTCGGGAGGCTGAGGCAGAAGGATCGCTCGAGCCCAGGAGTTTGAGGTTGCTGTGAGCTAGGCTAACGCCACGCACTCCACTCTAGCCTGGGCAACAAAGCGAGACTCCTGCGTCA